GAAAAGAAAAAAAAGTAAAGCCTCTTGATTGCAAGTCTTGGCAACTGTTTATCATTTGCCAATGCGAGTGACGATGGCTGTGCTGAAAGATTTGTCTGCTTAATGCTCGGCACACTATTGGCTCAACTCGGAAGCTGTTTCTGCAATCGCAATGGCCTAGCATATCGATGCAGGAAATAATTGCTGTCTGGCTAAGTGATATGCCATGTTCCAATCCGAAGGCAGCTGCAGTAGAAGCTATTACTGCTGCATTTACAGCAGCAGTGGCGAGGGCATCTCGATTGTATAGTACTATATGTGTGTTATTTTATTTAACAAGTATTTCAGTTTATTTTTTCAACTCGACGGCCTAATAAGTTTTATACACTGTTGCGCTATACGCTCCTCTATTGTTAAGCCCCCAACTCTCCCGTCACTTAATACACAATTTCCGCTTACAATTTAAAGTGCTCAACGACAAGAACAACAACAACAACAACAACAACAACAAAAACAAAAACAAAAAACCTGGTACTTAGTACCCTTCTATGCTGCGCATGCGCACAAAAGCCCTACGAATTGAATTACGGAACGTGCTATGGTGAAATGAATGAATAACAGAAAACAGAAATCTCAGCAGAATGCAATTGGGTTTTTATTATTAAAAGCAGACAGCAGGCAGGCTCTAGAGCTGACTGGCTGGCTGGCAGTCAGCAGCAACAGCAGCAACAGCAACAGCAGCAACAACAACAGCGGCAGCAACTCCAAAAAGAATGGCTGAGAAATTAAAAGGTAATTAACATGCAGCTGCATGCGCCCTCTGCACTCAATTTGTTGTGTGTGTGCGTGTGTAAGTGTGTGTGTTACTCCCATTGCTCGGGTCAACTCCGAGAACACACATACATATGTACATATGTACATATGTCAGCTATTGCAGCGCTTGCAAAACTAATTGAACATTATGCGCCATTCAGCGCAAACCAAAAGAAATCAAATCAAATCAGTTTCAGACATCCAGCAAATGCGTGTACAGTAATTATTGCCTATGCAAGATTTTGTGTAAAAATACAGCAAGAATGCTAGAATGCCTTGATTGTAATTACAGTGCCAACTGCAACAAGAAAATTCTCACGCATAGCTTATTAAAAACAACAAATTAATGAATATAAATTAAGTTTAAAGTAGCAATGTATTTTAAAGTTTCCATCGAATCTAAATTATTTCCGCCAAAATGAATAATTTAAGAATAGAATTATTCTCTTTATGTCCCTTCAATTTTAGCTATTGTTTTCTTCATTTAAAAAAATAAACCAAGCCACACATAATCAGAGATTGGTGAGAAATATATAACATTGTACTCTTTTCAATATTGCATACAACAAATTATATACGTATACAGATATGATTATTTGCAACAATTAATATAAATTAGAAGTAATATTCTAGCTTTAAGTTGTTTATAACACCTACAATGGATTTTAAGTTTTTGAACTTTGTGGCTTACAAGCCATATTGATTAATTGTAAGTCAATAATTAAATATATTTTATAATATATTATAATATTTTGTGCGTTTTTTCAAAATTATATTTATCTAAAAATATTACATATTACTACAAGTAACATGAATCTATTAAGCACATTTTAAACAGTATTTGTTATTCAATTTCCTGCAAAACATATTATTAGTTAACATTCTTTTTTTGGTGTTCAACGAAAAAATATTTGCATTCAAGCCATATGTTAAAAAAAACATTTTGTCATCAATAAAAAACCGATCTCTATCGTTGTACATCTATGAACAGACGATTCAAAGAGATCAGATCATTTTCCATTATTGATTACAATTATTTAAATCATTTAAGGCAAAATGAAAAGCAGGTCCGGCATGTCGAATTTTGAAAACTTCCCAGAAGTTTCTACCGCTAAGTTCAGAAGTTTTTAAAGATACTATGTACTGGTATAAAGGAGTAATCAACCGTTTCGTTCGACATTTATAGAATTTGCAAGCTTCAAAGTCTATCTATGGTATATATATTTATATAGGCACACACATTTGGGAAATAGAATATGATGACGGTAGTCCCCAAAAATGTGTAAACAAAAATTAAGGGAATTCATATCTAAACATGAGCTTTTTTTGCACCTGCTGGTGAGGTTCTATTTACCCGTTTGGAATGTTATTTTGTTACAAATCCTTTTTTAAAATTTTTGTTTATTTTTGATTTTTAGTAAATCTGAAGTACATTAACTAATGTGTCTGAACATGGGTATAACTGTTATAATACCGATTACATTTCAACTTAATATTGCTTCCTCTCTTCTAAAAGAAAAATGTAAATAGTTGCTGCACTGAAGAAGTGATTACTGTGGTGATCGTAATTTTGCTGATTGATTCAAATAAGTTTATGCACATTTACACATTAGTCGATGCTGAAGCTGGTCTGTGTGTGTGTGTGTAAGTGTAAGTAGGTCATGTCGACAAGCTGAGCACTTTACGATCTCTGCGGCTACGTGTGTGTGTGTGTGTGTGTGTGTGTGTGGTTATGTCTGTGCCTCCCACAGTTTGAAGCCAAAAGCCAAATGTGCGCCATGTGCGCCACATTGAAGGAATCAAATAGTGCGTATGCGTTACGAAAATTATTATAAATTACAATTTTAGACACGCTCGCTTGCAATGTCCCCCCACCCCAGAGCCCCAGTCATTCATGGTGCTGCGTGTTCTTTACTTGTATGTGTCTGTCTGCTGATAAGCGCATTTAACAATATCGTCAAGAACATTGCCAAGTACCACCAATGGCATTTTTGAAAGTATAGTACATACTTGTACGAGTAGTCGTATACGGAGCCCACACTTGTCATTGACTTAAAAATTATACAACATACATTTGTCTTTGAGTGGAAATTCTAATGGCTGCGTGGGTCGCCGTCGTTGGCTCGAAGGACAGTCAGTTGACCACGGCTTCCGTGCTTTGTTTATACACACTCACCACACACACACACACACACACACATGCACACACACACATGCTCTTGTACATTTTTGCACTTGCTTTATAATTTGTATGCAAATAGCCGCTCACTGTTTGTTTGGCTGTGCAAAGTAAACGCAATTGCCTTTTAATGAATTCTTATTAGCGCTTCTGAGCGCTGGCTGCTGCAACCGATCGGAACAACAACATTGTGGTGAGGTAAGGTCAGGGACGTGTGCAAACAAATTGCGAAACTGTTATGAATACGACAACAACAACAACCGCAATAGCGATCGGCCAAAATAACAGTTGCGGCTGTTAATGAACTTCAATTCGAAAAGCGTGCAATTTTATTTGTGAGCTTTGGCCACCATGATATTTTAATGATTGTGCTGCCGCGCTTGAACCTACATACCTGATAGGTGGGCAGGTAGCTACAACAACAACCACACAAACACCAATAACAATAACAATAACATTAACGCTAACAATAAAAGTGCTTAGATATGAAAAAGCAGAAATTACCTCGAACTCTAAAACAAAAGCGTTTGATTTATGCAGGCAATAAAAAGTTATTGTTAAATGTTATAGGCACTGTAGTTTTTTTGTTTTTGTTTTTGCTATGCGATAGAAGTAACAAATTATTTGCACTTTACAAAAAAATCACACTCGATCATACATACTATACACGTATATGTCATAGGGCGTATGTTGTAGGCACTAACAAGGCACTTGTAATGTAATTTGGCACTGCACTTAAAATCCACTTGTTTTCAATACTTTGCTCATTTATGTACTCGTATGTATTCGTATTCGTAGCTTTGGAATATTGTGCTATTTTGTGAAGTTATTTTTGATTTTTGCACATTTCTTTGGCGCCTCGAAACTTCAACTTCAGCCGACTGTACGTCGTCGTAGTCGCTTTCTGCCGCTCACAAGACTGCGCGCCGCGAGTTCAAATCTCCAACTAAACGCAGAGACCCAACTACAGTCTGCATGGCGTGTTTAACAGAGCGCTGTTAATGTTGCTGTTTGCTGTTGTGTCGCTTGCTGCTCGCTGTTAGTTTAGACCAAATTGTACAGCGCTTGCCAGGGCTGCGCAATCAGCCAGCAGCGCGCCTTTAAAATACTTGGCATGCTCATTTCCACGACAATTGAGCAATCGTAGAATGTACAGTAGTACACATATGTAATTTAACAAACACAAAAAATAATCGAAATCAAACCAACTATATACACGAACTATGTAATGTGTTTTGTTGGTTTTCATCAATTTTTTGAGTATTAAACACTAAAATGAGTTCTGGAACTGATGTGGTTCTATTTTTTATAGCTTTTTTACGCAAAATAATATTCAAAAAATTGCTTCTCTAAATATGATTCTGTTTATAGCTTCTTTTTAGGCAATATAACAGCCAAAAAAAAAATGTTTCTCTAAATATGCTTCTATTTAAAAACTAAAATAGAGAAATATATTGCTAGTTGCAATGCATTTTTTTGAGTATTAAACACTAAAATGAGTTCTGGAACTGATGTGGTTGTATTTTTTATAGCTTTTTTACGCAAAATAATATTCAAAAAATTGCTTCTCTAAATATGATTCTGTTTATAGCTTCTTTTTAGGCAATATAACAGTCAAAAAAAAAATGCTAAATATGCTTCTATTTAAAAATTAAAATAGATAAATATATTGCTTGTGCCTCCATCCTTGTACTATACTAAGAATATCAATAAAGTGTGAGTTTTTGAAAATGAAATATTTAAAATGTGAGTATTGAATATGTTTAAATACTACTTCAAATCAAATCCACTCTCAAATAATTTGAATGTTTTGAGCTTGGCGTAGTAACAACCTCTTGCTACCTACAGGAACAGTCTATATCATTACCATTAGAAGAGCCCTCTTTTAATATAAAGACTTATCAAAAAACATGTGCTGAGCAGTGTGCCAGTATTTACATATGTTTGTACTTAAATCGAGGCACGCTAATTTCTGCGCATTGCATTGACAATTGGACAATCTTAGGAGAACCCTAGAACTGCGACTTACCTCGCCAATTTGATGAGTGGTGCGCAACGTTGCCGCAATTTCAGCAAATTTGCATAGAAATCGGTGCTCGAATGCCGCCAGGCAGCCATTGAAGGAGCGCACGAGCAGCTCACGTGCCTGCCGCATTAGTATCGCACGCGTGCGTGCCCAGTAGACGGGATAAATGTGCGAGAGATGCCTGTCAATCAGATCGGCCAACGTGGCATCGTCGACGGTTGGCCGCAGTTGTTGTTGTTCCTGTTGAGGGCACATATAAAGGGCCAAGTTAGTGGTTGTAGGTTGTTGGCGAAAACAATTTTTGAGAATTGTACGAATATGTACGAGTATATAGTATATATGTGGTATGTTTGTACGAACCGTGTTGCAAGTGTTGGCGGTTGCCTCCTGTGGCTGCTGGTACATGGGCGCCTGTTGCACGACGACCGCCTGTTGTGCATCAATGGCTGTCGACAGGCGCATTGCTGTTGTTGTTGTTGCTGTTGCTGTTGCTGTTGTAGGTGGCGTCGTTGGCGCAGGCGTTGTGCTTAGAGCCAAAACGATGGGCAACGCTTCGGCATAAGCACTGGGCGCATCGCTGCAACACTCTTCCTCTTCCTCCATCTCAATCTCAACCTCGTCTTCGTTGTCCAGCTCTGAAATGACTGGGACTGGTTGACTGTTTGTGGGTGCTGCTTCGTTCTTGCTCATTGTTATTGTGGCTGTTGTCGTGGTCATGGTTGTAGTCGCTGTTCCTGTTGCAGTTGTAGTTGCTGTTACTATTGTTGTTGTTGCTGGTGCTGTTGCTGTTGCCTTGGCCGTCTGATGACCCGTTAAACGTTCCTTGCATTTCTTGAGATACGTGCGTACACGCGACTTGCTGCGCTGCAGCGTCTCGGGCTTCGTTTCTGCGACGGTTGCGGCTGCAACATTGTATTGACAGCACACATAATTAGCATTTGGAATTTCCAAAGCCGTCGACGATCGCTGCTCGCTTCTTTTCTCCTCCTCCTCCTCCGCCTCTGCCTCCGCCTGCGCCTGCGCCTCCTCCTCCACTTCATCTTCATCTTCGTTGCGCGCTATGGGCGCCGTGCAACGCCCCATTTTGTTGGCCTCATTCGCTCCGCCGTGCATGTCGCCGGCCACTGCTCCCGGCGGCGCTAGTGCGGACGCTCGTTCTGCTGCTCCTGCGCCATCAATTTGCGTGTCATTCAGCACCAAGACTTCGCTTAAATGGCCAGCCGCCGCTAATTCAGCGCTTTCAATGCCTGCTTCCAATCCAACTGCTGCCTCTCTTGCTCTTGCCTCTACTGCCAATGGCCCAGTTGTTGTTGTTGTTGTTGTTGTTTTTGCTGTTGACTTTGCGCTTTCCGTGTTCGTGTCAGCCTGCCAAGAGACACGTGTGAAGTTCAAAATATGTTGCTGCTTTAAATGATACTACAGATAGTGTTGGGTGGAGTGGGGTTGTGTCTTGTGTGTGTGTGTGTGTGTGTGTGTGTGTGTGTGTGGCGTGGTGCGGGGCGTTAACATTGTTACTTTGTATCTGCCAGATATACTATACATTGCAAATGGGCCAAAGGTATTGTGCTGCAAAAGTATGCAAACTATGCATGCAATGCCTTAACTCTTTGACAATTGAGGGACATATTGGGCCCAAGAGCAAAATTAAACCTACCTACAAGTATGTACATATTATGGAAGTTAATCATAGTTTAATTGAACTAAGCTGTGTAACAAAAGTTGAACAACATTCTTTAAGCAGCCCTGTAACTAGAAATGCTAGTTCAGTTCAGTTAATAAATCCTTAAAATGTTAAGAAAATGTCGATATTGATGGGTAAATTTATTATTGTTAATACTAATAATACTTTTATAAATAATGATATTGAAAAGTACCACAAGCCTATTTTCATTGATAAGTGAAACAATTTAAGTAAAAGGTAGCAACTTGAAAGAAACGTGCTTGGTTAATTTAATTTAATCAGACTTCTATTCTAAAATTATGTACACTCTTTATAACCACAAATATGACATTTGAAATCACTAATTAATTGAATACAAGCATTTTGAAAATGTTATACGCAAAAGATTAAAATTAATGACTAAATAATAGCATAATTTTGTTGATAAAGTTTTTACTGTGAAACGAACCCGGATCAAAATAATATATTATTAAAATGCAACAGAAAGTGATCACACTTCACAAAAACCATTTTTGGCAATACCTTTAATAGTCTGTTGGAATTATTTAAAATCGAAACTCGAAAACGAGCTCAATCAACAATATCATTCTTAGTATTGTTAACATAAATTATTAGTCATGAAAATATTACTTCATTCAAAAACCACTAACAATTCAATACTATAGTTTTCAGCTACGAAAACGTATATGAGATTTGATTGTAAAAATTTGGAAAAGAGCAAAAATTTATATGCAAATGTAGTCTCAGCTGCTCTGTTTCTTTTCCATTTACGTTCTAAAGTATATTTCCCGATCTGTTCTACTTAAATGCATAGTATGTTTATATGTTATGTTACTCATATGTATGTTGGATCGCCCTTCTACTGCAGGTCTTGAAGGTGTTAAATCAACGCTGTCTGTAATTACAACAACTCATAAGCGAATGTCGAGGGTTTCCTATGGCAACCAATGGTGGGCGTAATGGGCGCTGTAGTCGCAAGCTTGCCTCATGCTGGGCATGTTGCATGCAAAGCCAACGTGCCACCAAATAACAAAAATCAATTGGGGACAACATTGATCCGATTGCGGGCCAAGCAGATGACAGCAACAGTAACAGCTGCGGCAGCGGCAGCGGCAACTTAAGCCGTAAAATGCAGTATCGGCATTTGCCATAAAGGGGGTAAGGGGTGGCAATCAAATAGTTTGCGAAGCTCAAAACGTCAAACGTCTGCAGTTGTTGTTGCTGTTGTTGCAATTGTCATAGGTCAAGTGTAGCACAGTAGAATTCACTTTCTTTGTACAATACACACACACACTCGCAACCACACACACACACACACACACACACACACACACACACGAGTACACACACAGGCACATTGCGCACAAATTTGTAGTGAAAGTGTGTACACAAAGGCGAACAAAGTTGCCGCTGCCGCTGCCGCTGCCGCCGCCTTTGCCACAAAAATTTGACCATAACACATAACAACAACAAAGCCTGGCATTTCAATGTTGGCTTGCCAAAATATGTCTTCTGCGCTCCATGTGACAATGTGACACTTTGGCAGCGCAGGCGGCTGCTAACTTGGTCTCCACTTGTGAGCCACTTTTTCAAAGCCATTTGCATATTTTACTCTTACACGTACACATACACAGACACACACACGTATGTCCAAAAAAGTACGCCTCCAATGGAAAAACGCGTTCACAACACTCGCTGCTCCTGACCGCCTTTAGAGCTGCACACCCACTAAAAAAACTTCAGCGCTAGAGTCCTGTACTAAGTCCTAGCAACGAACTTAGACACAGCTAAGAATAGCCGCTAGATGTCGCTGTTAGGAATGCGCACGCGCCTCTTCCATTTTCTAGTTCTACAGCGCACAGTGGGTTGAAAAGTATCGCCATTTCAAAATGTGTTCAAAAATTCTCCACTTAGCTTAAATTATGTTTATTACTTGTCTCAGCAAGTTTTTCCCAGTTCTAGCGTTACATTAAAATGCTTTCAGTAGATCTTGGAAATACACTCTATATAATATAGTAATGTAATTTATAGCATATTTTATATGTATATCGAATATATTGTCATATTTTTACTTTTTGAGAACATTAATTGGTGGTAAGTCTTCAAAACAATAAATAGCTTTTGATTTAATTGACTGATTTCATTGAAATATGAAAAAATTTAATTCATCTCAGTTATTCAGTTGTTAAATAAAAACATATTATAATATTTTCAATTAAATTTTTCAACTATTCAATTTTTAGCTAACCGTTTTTTTTTTTTTAGCATAAAAGCATATTACAAATGTTCAAAAACATATTTTATTTGTTTTTGTAGCCGATATTTAATGCCTATATTAAGTGAGTTTTTGCCCAACTTTCTTTCACGGGATTCTATTAAATAAATAACAACGTTCCTTTTTTTAAAATGCAGTAAGTAAGATTTTATTCAGCAAATTTTAAATTATTCAAATAGTTTACGCTGACTTGAAATATAATGTACGCAAATTCCCCAAATTTCGGGAGCTATGGAAAATCACTAAAAGCGGTGGACTGGAAAGGGGGTGAACCAAAAAAAACGTTAACTACCTAGGGCTTAAAAGTACCTGGAGGCCAAGCTTGGGCTCCTTTATGTCTTTAGAGAACCTTGCCTTCATACCGACAGACGGGCGATTTGTCTAACTGGTCTATATTTATTTTTCTGCGTTTTACATACAGGGTAAAAAAAATCTTTAGACTTTCATAAAAGCAGCCTGAATCTGAAAGTTTGCCTCCAGAGCAGGAGATTCGAGAGATGCAGAAATGCAAGCTGCAGTGAGTTGTAAACTACTCATAGAACTTGTACTGTTTTCATATTTTTATCTGTTTTGTTGACACAAATTCCTTTCACAAATGTGCAATCTCATATTTCTAAAATTGTCTTAATCGACTTAATTCGGTAAACAAGATAACTGAAAATCGGGGCTAAGTAGGAGACTTGTTTCAATTGGTCCGGCGTTCCAGTATCATTTACTCCACAATATACCGATTGCCGGTAAATTTCTATAATATTCTTGTTTTGCTTTTTGAAGTAAACCGACACGGCCAAGTGGCAATAAATATATCATCAATATGTTTTTTGCACTGCCAGCTCGATTTCGTTGTGCCACATTCCGACAAAAGCCGCTGCCATCAACTGCTGCCGATTTCTGCCCATTGGCCATGGGCATAAAACACACGCACTGCCGGAGCAAATGTAATTTGCTGCCACGCCACGTTGTCAAGACAACTTTTGACCAAGTGCCGGACGCTCCTCATCAATTAATTGCCCAGCCCGGCCGCCTAGGGGCGCAGCGAGCGTCGCGAGCGTTGCGAGCGTCGCGCGTCACGCGTGTGTCGAGAAGTCGGGCCTCTCAGTGGCTTGATAAAACCACTGACCACTGACCACTGAACATTGTCCACTGACCAGGGACCAGTGACTACTTGCCCGACATGTTCATTGGGCCCGGCCCCCAGAGCGACGAGTCGCGACGTCTGCTAGCCCGCTGTTCAAATTATGGGCGTGAGACAGCATTAAAAGGAAATCGAAAATGTTGCACTAGATCGACTTTTTAACTTTAAATGCCAGCTCGTATTTTAGTCGTATTTTAGACTGGGGGAGTCTAGTGGCTGTGACCGTGTCAGGTCGTTAAAGGAAGGTCGCTTCGCTGCACTGGGATGAGACTCAACCTTGGGAACTCTCACGCGACTCGAATTTCATCTAATGCCGCTTCTCTGACCCACATCGAGCGCCGCAAGTTTATTTACTTTAACTATAATTTATGCAGTCGATAAGAGCGCAGCGAAAACAAGCTTGAAAATTAATTTTTATGCATCTCTTGTCACATTTGTGTGCTAATCAAAACATTATGACTGCGTTTTCTTTTATTAATTGGACAAGCGCAGGCAGCAACTAAAGAAACAGCACAAAAACAAACAGGCAACACAGACGGCCAACAAACAGCAACAAACCAGCAAGTAGGCAAAAACACCTGCGACCAGCACACAAATTAAATTTATTGCGTGTGATTTTGATAGTGGAAAAGACAAGACAAATACACAAAATATTGCGTCAGTAACTAATTTGTTAGGTGCCGCTAGCTGCTAACCACTGCTGTCCACTGATCGAGGCTGTCCAATCGTCGAGGCGCCGCCGCACTCAGCCAAAAGAGCCCCACCCGCCCGTCAGTTCGTTCAAGCGGGCCAATAAGTGAGCATTGCAGCTTGGTCTTGGCTCTGGCGTGGGCGTCGCAAATTGCAATTGTGGCCCGAACGACACTCGAGTGGGTGCTGCTCCCGCTTCCAAATTAAGCGAGGCACAGTGGTGCCAAGCACAAATCCAGCTCGACAAAAGTACGAATTTTAGCTGCACTGTGGGGTTGAAGGCGAAGTTCGTGCTATTTTGCGTGATCTTGAAACTGTTCTGGACTTGGTCTGACTTGAGAACCATCTTTGGGAACTATTCAAGAAATTTCTATTCTTCATTTCTATTTTAATCCCGTTTCGGCTGAGTTAATATTCTGTTTTTATTAACAGGTTGGCATGGGTCTGATTTGATATAATACAAGTATTCGTTTTAATTTTATTCTTAAAATGCATTCGAATAAAATGTTTCATAAGTTGAATTGTTTATCATTTTCAAACTAACTAAAGCTAGTATATGTATTATTGGAATATGCAGCACCCAG